AGTAGACAGTATCGCTTTAAGACATGACTTTGTACTAAATATACAGGAGAGGAGAGGCCAATGAAAGGAACTCACAGGAACGTATTAAAGAATGAGAAAAAATAGCCTGATAAAGGCAGAAGGACTTCCCTGTTGAAGGTGACAAACAATCAGTGCAAGCAGATGCCTGACAAGCCTGTTTGTATGTCAACTTTCCAACTTATATCTCCCAAATTCCAGGCTTCTATATTAACTTCAAACTCAAAATCTTTGCCTGGATGGTTAATAGGCTTCTTAACCTCTCTTCCACCTGTGGTCCACGCACAGCAGCTCCATCCTCTCTGCTGCTCATCGCTAAAACCTTGGAGTTATTCTCAGCTACTTTCATTCCCACATCCACTTTGTCAGGGAATCCTCTTGGCCCTACTGTTAAAATATATGCTGAATCTGAGTCCATCTCAAACCTGTTACTGCTGCGGTCCTGCTCTGAGCCACCTGCTCTTGCCTGCTACTGCTTGGCCCATCGGCATTCTCTGCACGGCACTCAGAATGATCATTTTCAAATAAAAGTAAAATTGTGTACTTCTTTATTCAAAACTCCTATAGTTGGTGTTTCACTCAGAATGAGCGCTAGAGTTCTTAGGAGGGCTGAGAAAGCCTTGGTGGTTTGTCCCTCACATGCCCCCTTTCCATTCTCCTTACTACTCCCTTGACTTCATCTGGCCTACTGATTTTGTTTGGCCAAGTTAATGATTTATTGCTTTATTTACTTTTTTTTTTTTGTCCTTTCCCTGTCCTATTGAAAAGGCAATAAATATAACTAAGCAGGTGTTATAGTTTCTTGTAGGACTAGCACCCATTGTCACTCTTGTTTGCTTAAGCACTCACACACCTGCAGGCCCTAGGAGGCAAAAATGGAGCAACAGGATTCAAGGAGGTCAAATTTGTATTTGGATATTTTGCTTTCATCTCAGAGAATGGATTTAAGGGGAACTTCGCTGGAAGCAATGACTGAGAAACAAGTTAGAAAGTTTTCACAACAGTCCGAATGGCAGGCTGTGCTGACTCTGTTACAAGACAGAAAAGATTCCAGATTCCAGAAACACTTTAAGGTAGACTTGGCAGGACCTAGTGCCTGAGTGAACCTGGTGTTTCTGGCTTTGAGTCACTTAATGGGTGAAGGTACCACTTACTGAATATGGAATTTATGGAGGAAGACGGGATTCAAAAACAAGAAACGGGGGATATTGTCAATTTCCTTTTGGACATTTTGATTTGGACCTCCGAGGGGGAGAGATGTGGGAAGGAACTTTGAGCCACAACATTGCTAAAGGCGCTCATTTCCCCCTAATTATAAATACTGTTCTTCTTTTTTGCAAATTTCACTGTTAAACTCCTCTGTCATAACTCTTCCGGGCACACACACTCTGGGCACCCTCAGTTTACTATCGCCTCTTCATGTCTCCTCTGGTAATTGTAAAATCTATCTTTAATAGCTAGCTATCTTGAGAACTGGGCTGCCCTAACCGATTGGAGCAAAAGCATGAGGAAGAGCTGGTTCCTAAAAGTACCGGAACACTTAACTTTTTACACAGGCATTCATGTAACTGTGAATGCGCTCAAGAGCTCCTTTAGTACCAGGACAGCTCGCCTTCCACCTCTTTTCAGGACCGGGCCGTGTGGCCTCCACTTCCGGCACCCGCTCGAAGCGGGTCTTGTGTTACTGTGGACCGAGCGGGGAGAACCAGCCTGAGCCGCGGTCGCCATAGAAACGAGGCCCCGGCCGGTTTGAGTTTGGGGGGCGACGCGTCTCCAGGGCCCCGGGGTGGCGGGGTTGGGCCGCACGTCGTCCCGTAAGCCGCTGGCGGCGGCGCCGGGCTCTGGCCCGGAGGAGGACGGACCGGGGCGGCCCGCGTCCCTTCGTCGGCCCCGGGAGCACCCCCCACCCTCCGAAAGGCGCGTGACGGGCCGCTGCTCGGCGCCCGCATTGTCTCAGCTCCATAGCAACTCGAGCCGCGCTAGGGCCACAGCAGCGAGGCCGCCCAGGGCCGCGCGCGCCGCTCCGCGTCGGCGTCCGTTCCCGGGGCCCGACGGCCCGCGCCCAGCCCCACCGCGCACCGCCTCTGGGCTTCCTTCTGCCCCCCGGGCGACCCCTCTCCCTAACCTTGGTAGCACAGGCTCCAGAGCCCTCTCACCGCGTTTTGTAAGGAATTTAACCCGCCATCCCCCCCTTTCCAGTGCCTCGTTGGCACCGTCTTATTTTATCTTGCTTAATTCTCCGTTTTGCAGCGGGAGTCATGGAGGCCTCCATCTATTAAGGTTGACTCAGGGGGTCGCAGTCGATTAGTGACCAAGCTGGATTCCAGAGGCCTTTTCTCCCCACTTCCACCTTGAATTCCAACTTCAAATTCAATCCATGTGCAGAGAGCGAACAGAGGGCCAAGAGTTTTACTGAGCTTGCCCACGTATAAAGCAGGCCTGAGTACTGTCTCAAATTATTTCATTTACTTTAAAAGGAAATCAGATTTGAGTGAGATAATGTAATATTTTATTTTGTTTCAGAGCCACCAACTATTACAGAAGAAGGATTTGTAAGTAGAATTTAGAGGGCTACTTCCCCCCTCCTTGGCTTTTTAAAAATAGCAAATCATAGATCGCTTTTTAGAAATGATGTTTCTTTTCCTTTCTTTTTGCCAAATGAGTTATAATTTAAGCTTTGGTTTCGTAACAATGGTGCTGGGTTCATGAATTTATTTTTTAACAGGTACATTTTTAAGAAGGGGCCAACTGATTTTTCATGGTGGATGCTGTTCATTGTTAAAAGTTCTTTTATATAAATGGCCTCATTCAACTTTGCTAAGTTTGTTGATGACTCCATGAGATTAGATTCATCTCCATGGTTTTATTGTGTTAGGGCTGAGCAGTTCCTGGTTACAGTAAACCTTAGTAGGTGGCATTGATTAATAACACAAGGTCTGTTTACAGTTATAATTATTTTGAAAATGTACCAGATAGTCTCAGCTCAGACTTCTGGAGAGTTGAGCTGTAATAACTACTTGGCCAAGTACATTATATCTGTTGTCATTTAGGTGAGTGCTGCATCTAGAGTAGTGGGTTCTACTGCGATTCCCTCTGTTTATTCAAGGAACTTGTCCCAGGTAATGCGTTAAGATAGGAGGCAACAAAGCCTCATTCTTACAGAGGCTTGATTCCAAGAGTTCTAATGACTTCTCTACATTATTTGCTTATGTCCTACAGCACTTATTTCTCTTGTTGGTCAATTATCTTATTTGCTTTTGGCTTTTTACTCAACAAACATGAGTGCCTCTATATTCAAGTGTGGTGCTAGATGCTCAGGGTACGTCTCAAAAAGTTCACAGTCTAGTAGGGGCTGAGAGTAGAGGCTGTCTGCTACCTTGCGTCTGCTAGCACTTTGCACGTTCACTCTTCCCAATCTTTGGTCCACCACTGGGGGAGACCAAAACAGAGGCACACATAGCGTGCCAGAGACTCCAACAATCTTCCTGTTGCCTTGGCATCACGCTGTGTAGTAGCAAGTTTCTTTATGCTTCCTGAAGTGTTCTTCACACAGACAAGAGGAAAGCATTTTTCGAGATAACCTTTTCGCGTACAACTTCAGCACAGTCTCTCACAGTCACCCAAGGACATCACCCTTAACATTTGAATTGCCTGCTGACTTCCGCACGTCTTTCCCCAGCTTATGGCAACTTAATGAGGCCATCTTGAAAATTCTATTAGCCATTCCTCTTTCTCTTGATTTTTTTTTTTTTTTTAATTCCACTGTCTCCCAGTTCTCCCATCTCTCATGTCCTCCCATCCTGGCTTCTCTTTTTTCTTACCCATCAAAGTATAGACCTTCTTCAGGATTCTCTGGGAGAACTCTTCTTCTATGACTTCCGCCACCCTTATTTCTCAGGACTCAAACCTACACGCCTCCAGTCTACACTCCTCTTATGATGTCAGAACTCTGTATCTACTGGGTTACTGGGCGCCTTCATCATCTAGATGTCCCTGCATCACTTCAGTAGTGTGAAGTGAACTCATTACCACCTATTCTGTCCTTTTTCCTCTTTTTCTTATTCCGGTTAATGGTGTCCCTGGCTATTCAGTCACCCAAGTCAGAACCTTTCTTCCCTTTTCTTCACCTCCCACCTGTAGTCATTTCCCAAGTTCCATTCATAGCCAGATCTTTTTCTCCATTCTCACAGCTACTGTCTTATTCAGGCCCTCACCTCTGAGCTTGGACTTCGGCGGTAGTTCTGGCTGATATCACCGCCTCCAGTGTTCACTCTGCCAACTGCAGTTTTTCTTTGCCTAAGGCACAGAGAGCAAACTCCTGTGCATCACCTGAATTTCCGGCTATGGTTTTGCTCTACCTTTAGGATTTTTCCTTCTCCCATCTCTTCTACCTTGGCTGTCAAATTGCTATTAACTCTTTAAGAAATTTCCATGTTACTCAATTGCTCAAACCTTTTTTTTAACCTCCTGTTTATTGAATGCTGACTGCATGGTGGTATTTAACCTCAGAACAACCCTGTTAGGTAGTGACTAACACTCACCTCTCACAGATGAGGATGTCGGTGTTCACAGAGGCTCACTGACTTGGTTTGGGGCCACACGTCTAGTAACTGGCAGAGCCAGAATGTCAGAAGCCTCCCTTTAGCATGCAGAATCTTTTCTGCAACTTTTCAACCTTCTTTAACCTTATCTGCCAATACTGTCTATGTGATGAAGACAGTGTTCATACTGTCTTTGGTTTATAAAGTGCTTCCACACTCCGTCTGCTCCAGCCAAACTGCGCTGCTCGCCTCCTTGGCTTTACTGTTGAGTTTTGTCTCGGATGCTCTCCCCCATCCATTTCACAATCTTGGACATTCTTCCAGGTCCAGCTCATCTCCGTGAAACCTTTCCAGCCTAAATTCATCCAGATTGCCTCTGAGCCCTGTGCAGCTTTCAGTCATGACCAGTTTGTGACCAGATCCTCAAATTCATCGCTCACCAAGCATTATCTATAGATGAAAGAATCCGTATATCTTGCACATAATATTTCTTCCTCTTTCCCCAAAGTGTAAGAGTATTTTTTCTCATTAATATTTTTAGAAAGGAATTGTGTGGCTGAGATCTCTGGTTTCCCATTCCACCACTTTCCACGGTACCTACAAGACATATTGCTCTCCAAAATAATTAACGTTTTCTGGCTTCCCTTGCCAGAACCAAGTTTTGTTTTTCATTTATTTTTATTAGTTGGAGGCTAATTACTTTACAATATTGTAGTGGTTTTTGCCATACATTGACATGAATCAGCCATGGATTTACATGTGTTCCCCATCCTGATCCCCCCTCCCACCTCTTTCCCTATCCCATCCCTCTGGGTCTTCCCAGTGCACCAGCCCTGAGTCTTCCCAGAACCAAGTTTTGTAACCAAGTTTTGATTAATGAAGTTTAAGCAGAAGCACTGTGTCCTACTTCTGGAAAGCTGATGTTTACAGAGATGGAATAACCAACCCCTGGGTCACACAGCTGGTAAAACCGGTCAGACCACATCTAGAACCTGGGTCATTCTGACTCTGACACTCAGATAAATGTAAAGGGAAAGAACATGCCCTTTGTAGTCTTGCTGGCTGGAAGGAGGGTGTGATCCTGGAGCTGAAGCAGTCATCTTGGATCTTGAGGTAGAAGTGGCATCTTGAGGATGGCAGAGCCACAAGACCCAAGAGACTTGGGCTCCTGATAGGTTGGGATACCACTGTGCCAGTTCTGCACTGCTTATAATTACACGAGAAACATAAACCTCTGTGTTATTTAAATAGTATTATTTTGGTTTTCCATTATTGGCAGCAGAGTCCTATACTAAAAGAGCATCCATATTCACAGGACGGAGAAGGCAGTGGCACCCCACTGCAGTACTCTTGCCTGGAAAATCCCATGGATGGAGGAGCCTGGTAGGCTGCAGTCTATGGGGTCGTGAAGAGTCAGACACGACTGAGTGACTTCACTTTCACTTTTCACTTTTATGCACTGGAGAAGGAAATGGCAACCTACTCCAGTGTTCTTGCCTGGAGAATCCCAGGGATGGGGTCACACAGAGTCGGACATGACTGAAGTGACTTAGCAGTTAGCAGTATTCACAGGAACTTTTTTCTTACTGCGTTTTCTCAGACAATGATGCTGTTAAGTATGTCTGTAAAATATTTTAACCTTTACATGAGGCCTCTGTCTTCAGTGGAGAGAATAACATTTAGAACAATTTGTTTCTTGTCAGACAAGTCACTTTGCATATATTTTAACTTTCTTTGTAAATTTTGCAATTTCCTAACAGAGTTGTGACCACCTATAGGACTCATATTGTGATTCAGTACACCTGCATATTCCATATGGTGAATAAAATTAAGAGACACTGTAGTTTCACGTAATATGTTTTATATTTTAGTTGTTAAAAGTAGTATTGATTTTCAGCTAATCTTTAGGCTGTTCAGATTCATTTTCTGTTATTTTTATAGAGTGAATGAATTTATTATAAACACAGAGCATTTCCCAAGTCCGAGGATATTCTCATTATTCTCATGTAACATGCAAAAAAGACGCATATGCTCCAGTTCTTGTGAGCACGAGTGTCTAATTATATGAACATTAATGACTACATGGTGTTTACCTTTTCAGATTGTGAATATAGCTGATTGCACATCAGTGGAGTTGGGGGAACTGGGAGAGCACACCTGGCTGGCATGCTGGCTGGAGGTCTGCGGAGGTGGTGGAGGACAGGAACAGGTGGATGGAGGGTGCCAAGTGAGGTGCCAGAAATGTCTCCACCAAGTCATTTGGAAACCCAGATGGGCCTGGAGGTCCTTTGGAGAGTGTTAGGCTGTTTGGAATACTTCCATCTCTGCGGAGTCCAGTTCTCTGGTTGGAACCAAATTCTCTAATGCTTTTTGAAACCGCAGGAACGGCTTTAGAGGTTCCATCAATACATTAGTTAACAAGCATATTGTTAAGCACCTAATTGAACTTACCATTGTATTAGGCACTACTGGGGACACAACGCTGTCCATCGATCGTCCCCCAAATTGTATACCTTCTGGTTGGAGAGGTGACCTTTAATATGAAACAATATAAGGATAAGTGGTTTATGTTTGTGTGCATTTTTAACAAAAACTGCATTAAGATTAAGAGAAACTTTTAATCATAGGTAAGGTGTATACTATACTTAGCCGCTCAGTCATAAGGTGTAGCATGGGAGGAAAGATGATAAAGAGTGTAAAATACACTTTTTTACATTAGGATATCATGTTGTATCCAGGACTTTGGTATAGGAGGAAAGACATAGGGTGTTTGGCCAAATGAATAGACTGAACCCAAGCCAATGAATTGACTGAAAAAGTCCTACTTGGCTTTTTAGACAGTTCAGTTCAGTCGCTCAGTCCTGTCCGACTCTGCGACCCCATGGACTACAGCACACCAGGCTTCCCTGTCCATCACCAACTCCTGGAGATTGCTCAACCTCCTGTCCATCAAGTGGGTGATGCCATCCAACCATCTCATCCTGTGTCATCCCCTTCTCCTCCCGCCTTATCTTTCCCAGCATCAGGGTTTTTTTTTCCAATGAGTTGCCTCTTTGCATCAGGTAGCCAAAGTATTAGAGTTTCAGCTTTAGCATCAGTTCTTCCAAGGAATATTCAGGACTGATTTCCTTTAGTATTGACTGGTTTCATCTCATTGCTGTCCAAGGGACTCTCAAGAGTCTTCTCCAGCACCATAGTTCAGAAGCATCAATGCTTTGGCACTCAGCTTTCTTTATAGTCCAACTCTCAAATCCATACATGACTGTTGGAAAAACCATAGCTTTGACTAGATGGACCTTTGTTGGCAAAGTAATGTCCCTGATTTTTAATATGCTATCTAGGTTGGTCATAGCTTTTCTTCCAAGGAACAAGCATCTTTTAATTTCATGGCTGCAGTCACCATCTGCGGTAATTTTGGAACCCCCCAAAATAAAGTCTCTCACTGTTTCCATTGTTTCCCCATCTATTTGCCATGAAGTGATGGGACCAGATGCCATGATCTTAGTTTTCTGAATGTTGAGTTTAAGCCAGCTTTTTCGCTTTCCTCTTTACTTTCATCAAGAGGCTTTTTAGTTCCTCTTCGGTTTCTGTCATGAGCATGGGGCCATCTGCGTCTCTGAGGTTATTGACTTTTCTCCCAGTAATCTTGATTCCAGCTTGCGCTTCATCCAGCCCGGCATGAAGCACAGTGTGATTGGATAAAAAGGGAATTGACAGCTTCCTGTACCTTCCCCAGGCCTTTCAGAGTTTCCTCCAGCAAAGAGAGTGAGAATAGAAACCAAATGGAAAAGTACTGCTCAGTAGATGCTGACTGTAATATGTGACGATAACTCTTCATAATAAAAGGAGATCCATGCTTTTGCCATTCATTGCATGAACCACTCTTATTTGCTTCCTGCTTCATATACTATATTAATAATACTAGATGCAGTTTTGCAGTCCAGTGAGGATCTGATAAACGGGCTTTCAGCTCTTAAGTTCCTGAAATGCCTTTGATCTGTGTAATATATACTTTCAACAAGCCACTTTGTGGCGTTTGTTTCCCCTTGTGTTCTCTTTTTCTGTTTTCCTTTTTTGGCAGCATCTCTCCTTTTTATTTTATTGGAGGTAGTGGTTTAGTCACTAAGTCATGTCTGTCTCTTGCAGTCCCATGGAGTGTAGCCCATCAGGCTCCTCTGTCCATGGGATTTTCCAGGCAAGAATACTGGAGTGGGTTGCTGTTTCCTTCTCCAGGGGCTCTCCCTAGTGTTGTTTTATTAGAGTCTTAGGTTATTAGTCTTTCTCTTTAGGTTTCATGTCTTTGGTATAACCATTCAACATTTACTTAACAATAATGTAAGTATCTATTATATAAAGCACTGGGAAGTTTTTTAATTGAAGTATAGTTGATTCAAAATATTATGTCAGTTTTAGGTAGGAGTACAGCAAAATGATTCAGATTACACTTATGTGTGCCTGCATGCTCAGCTGCCCAGTCGTGTCCAGCTCTTTGCAGCCTCATGGACTGTAGCCCGCCTGGCTCCTCTGTCCATGGGACTTTTCAAGCAAGAGCACTGGAGTGGGTTGTCATGTCCTCCTCTAGGAAAGCTTCCCGACCCAGAGATCAAATTCGTTCTCCTGCATTGGCAGGTGGATTCTTTACCACTGAGCCACGTGGGCCTCAGTAATATGTATGTATATGGGTGTGTGTGTGTGTGTGTATGTATTATTTTTCAGATTCTTTTAGCATTGGGAATTTTTTAAATGAATAAGAAGCAGTCTTTTTCTTCCAGAAGTTTACAGCCCAGAGTGTGAGACTAAATACAAAATTAGAATCTGAAGTATTAAAAGTTATGATAAGGGAAACATAGATGTAACTTTTGGAGAAGAAAAGGGGTGGGTAGATAGATAAGAGGAGAAAAGATTTTCACGGTCGAATAATCAACGTGCACAAAGGTGCAGAACTATTAAAAAAAACTGCAGTGGCTAGAGCATGGTAATATGAGATGAGGCTAGACAGCTGGGCAGGAGCCAAATTGCATTCATCCTAAACCCCTTTTTGTGTTACAAAAAGATGGGAGATTGGGAGACAAGTGGAAATCTTGTATTGATTGTGGTGTTGCTAGGAAGACTGATCCATACTGTAATGGGGTAAGGGAGAGGTAGGAAGATGAGGTTTGGCCCATTATGGACAGGAGGGTGAGGCAGAGGTCCCAGAGGGGTCTGACTGGTAGTGCATGGGATCTCAGGATAGTAGTCAAAAGATCATCAGGTGACCAGGGATTTATTCTAGATGTGATGAAGTGATTTGGGATCTGTCCTTTAGTATGCAGGAGGCTAGGAAAGCTCCACAGATGCAGAGAAACATGATATCATTTCCTTATACATAAGTCCCCCCATCGCAGCATTTTTTAATGCATACATTTAAACACATAGGAAAGTTAAAAGAACTGTGTTGTGGGACTTCTTGGCAGTCCAGTGGTTAAGAC